AAACCTATCTGAGCATGCACAGATTTGATATCTGACCGCTTGCTACTACCTAACCTTTCTGTGCGCAAAGTGGATCATTGCCACGTGGCTCATCCTGCTGTCGTTTCGTTCATACATGCAAATGTTCTTATTGATTGGTTGATCGATTGATCGAATAGTGACGCGCAGAAGAACTCGTCTTAGGCGGCGTGAATGCGCGGCATTTGTCGAGCAACAGACATCCCGGAGAGGACAGACGGAGTACCGTGGCGTCGCATCTGATCGGATCCCTACGCGGAGCTCACGTGTTTTCCTTACTTACCCATTTTCGGTGGCAGAGAAATAGAAAAGGGCCGGAAAAAAAGGGATAGCAAAGATTTTCAACTACAGGTGGCGCCTTTCGGGCGCGGAGACTTTTGGGAAATTTCGCAGTCGGAGTGGGAACTTTCGTGGACTAATCAAGGAAGTTTCGCGGCTGGCTATGAACTTTCGTCGTAGATCGGTCTAGGAGGATTGGAAGCCGGAAGATCGGTCGCGCATTTGCGACGTAGGAGGAAACGATTAGCGACCGGCTGCGTGGATTCGTCGTTCGGTAATCAAATCGGGGAAAAGAGAGAGAGAGAGAGAGAGAGAGAGAGAGAGAGAGAGAGAGAGAGAGAGAGAGAGAGAGCGCAGTCAGCAGCAATCCATTGATTGGTCGGGTGTCCCGCCTATACGCGCTTAGGGGCAGGGATTCGCGCCCTGGGGCGCAGCAGCGGCGCCGAGTGCTAGAGTGCGGCTGGGGTCGGCAGCTGTAGAAGTGCATAAATTCCCGCCAAGATTCCGAGCGCGCCGTAGAAGTGCATAAATTCCCGCCAAAATTCCGGGCAGCTGTAGAAGTGCATAAATTCCCGCCAAAATTTCGAGCGCGCCGTAGATTGCGCCGCCGCCCCGCCATTTTTCAGTCGGTCGTCTGCAGGAAAGGCAATTGTAAAGAATGGTGAGTTTCAAACAAAGAGCGGAGAGAGTAATATCCCACACCTCATCACCAATCCCTTATCACTAATGACATTGATGACTGATCCACTCTGAGTCATCATCAATCACTCATCCCATGTCATCTTGCGCGCAGCGATGCGCCGGCTCGTTCCCGGTGATTCGACACGTGGCGTCCTCCTTGTCGTCGTACTTTTCCGTAATCGCGCCATTTTGTTTTTATTCCTGTCATCGACTTCTCCCCCCCCCTCCCCCCCCCCCTCCTCTTCCTCTCGTCCCCTCCCCCCCCTCCTCCCCCCCACTTCCTTTTCCCTAAACCCGCGGGATATGTGTTGATGTCATCATACGATTGGCAGCTCTGCTATCGAATGTTGTTTGATTTTTTTTTTTGAATTTTTAATGTAAGTTTTTGGGTTAACCTGCCATCATCATAATCCGTCTATGTTGATCATACCAACGCCGCCTACCGTCTTCACCCGAATATAACGCCCGGTCATTATAGCCGTATTTGGGGCCATTTTCTGTCCAGATGCAGCGATTATGACCGGGCGTTCTATTCGGGTGAAGACGGTAGCACTTACAAGAGTTTTTTTTTTTTTTTTTTTTTTTTTTTTTAAGCGAGAGGCGGAGGCGGAGGGCGAGGAGCAGGACGGGCCAAGGAGAAGAGTCGGGGAGGACAAGGAGAAGAAAGAGGAGGAGAAAGGGGAGGGGGAGGAAGAGAAAGAGCAGGGGGAGGAGGAGGAGGAGGGAGGAGAGAGAGGGAAGGGAAGGAGGGTGAAAAGAGGGGAGTAGGAGAAGGGGGGTGACAGGAGGATGGGAGGAGGAGAACGATAGAATGTATTCCGGGGTGATACGACGACCCACAGGATGTGGGAGAAGAGTAATGGAAGACGAGAGACAGGAGAGAGAGCAGAGAGAGGAGAGAGAGGGGGAAGGAGTGGAAGAGGCAGAGGAAAAAGCATAGTGTAGTGCGGAGGTAGCATCGTGAAGGACAAAAGGAGGGAGGACATATATGAGAGTGTGTGTGTGTGTGTGTGTGTGTGTTTGTGTGTGTGTGTGTGTGTGTGTGTGTGTG